GAGTCAGATATTTCCCTACTGTGAAGATAAATTTTATCCATCTAAAACCCTCTGTTCTGTTTCCATGGTTGCCAAGCAACCTCTGGATTCGAATTTAGCTTCCCATGTAGACCTGTCTACAAAGTGCTAGAGCATGAGAATTTTTGTCTAAGTAACAATATTATTTCTTAATGTAATTAAATTAGCAGTGCGTATGTGTTCATGTGTGAGTGCACATGTGTGTATGTGTGTACGGTAAGCCTATATATATGAATCTGTCCGTAAGAGCTGAACCTTTTCTTGATGTACTGATGAATACAATTTCTCTAGTCCTGCTGGATGTGGCACTGTGATGAATTCACCCTGTTGCCAGAAGTTGTCCTTGAGATTCCCAACTTAACTTAGTGGCCTCCATTTAGATCATAACATTGAACCACATGCCAGGACAGGCAACCTGAACCTTCACTATGAAGGAGACTGCTGCCCTTGTGGCACATTCTTACTGAATCCCTTTCTTCCCCAGAAGATCACATGTGAGTGAGTCATTCACCATTTTTCTTTGGTACATGGTTTCATTTTACATCCCACAGGATGACAAATTTAAACTTCTAGTCTGCGGATTTTTGGAGGGTGTGACTGGGCCCCACCCAAACACGAAGGCTTTCAAAACTGTCTATGAAATAGGAAAATGAAAGCAACCCTTTTTCCTTGGAACTTAGATTCTTCTAAGGGTAAAGGAAGTTTTGTTGCAGTGATGGGGTTTGAGTCCAGAGAAATAAACATTTTCAAACATTTAACTGCAGGCAAAGTGTGCTAAATGAATGCAGACAAATTTGTAAACCTGCCTCCTAAATAATCTTAGGAAATAATCTATTCCAACCAAGTCCTGGCAAGTAACTTATTGACAGAACTTTGTCCAAATTCTAGCCACTTATTCACAGCATTGTGAGGGAGAATAGTAATAATAATTTTGATCCACAAAATAGTTTAAAATACATATTTTACATATAATTGAAAATATCCCCACTCCTTCTCTAGCATTCCCAAATCAGGCTAGTCCCTTAAAGTTTTTACTCTCCTTTGTCTAAAAGGCAGGGGAAAGGAGGAAAGGAACATCCATTAAATAGTCTTCTACATTACTTTAATCTACTCAATAACCTTTGGAGCAATTAAGATTAGAAAGATTAAAAGCGTGTTGAGGTAGCCTTGATTGTTGAGAAAGATGGTAAAGTCTTGTACTCTTTGTTCAATGCTTGCCTTGCTTTATGTCTTTCTACTTTACTTAATACCTCAGTTTCCCCAGGCACAAGCTGCGGGTAGGGCACAACTCAAAGCATATTCTAATAAACTACATGGAGCTACGCTAACCTTGTTTCTCTACATGCTGTATTCAGTTTGCCTAGCATAGTGCTTCAAATTTTCCCAAGTGATTTTCTTTTGTTATCTGATTGACTTCTGGTACAATCTGTGGACTGGAGGTCTCTGAAATTCTTGTTGGCTGGGTTGTTGTTGGTGGTAGTGTTTTTGAACTATTCTGTCTTTCAATTGCAAACTAATTGGATTCCCCTCCTCTAAGGCCAGTGACCACAGAAACAAAAAAGCTGACATGCTGTTAACTCTGATTATTGCTCACAATCATGAGAATAACATGATAGTTTCACCAATATTTCACGTCCATTCATTCAACAAACACTATCTGAATGCCTGCTACTGGTCTAGGCACTAAAAGGCACACTTTAATTTCCACCTTTCTACCGTATGTAATATACCCTATATACCCTTGTCTGTTCAAGAGTAGCCTATCTTTAAAAATAAAAATCCTGGAGGCTGTTGGTGACTCCGTTGAACTTCCTTCCCATTGCAAGGACCCTCTACAACCTTTATGGATGGTCATCTCCCAGCCTTAACTTAGCCTCCCTCTGGTCATGGGTCTCACTCCTCCATGGGACAGGCCTGGCCACTGCTAAATGGCTCAGTATCAGGAAAGCTGGTCTTGTATTTTGTTCTGTGCTCTGGAGCTTGTGTTAAAGGAGCTTAGAAATAATGACCCTATTTGATTGTTTTTCCTAGTGCT